AAACTAAACAAGGATGACACACAGACATGTTCAGAAAGAAATAAAACCACACAGCTGTCTGGTGTGGTGATCATGCCACAGCACCTGGGAGGCAGAGGCAGCAGATCTCGATGAGTTGGAGGTCAGTCTGGTCTACAGAGTGAGTTCAAGGCCAGGCAGGGCTGCATAGTGAGATATGGTCTCAACAACAACACAACAAAAAGCAAAATAAGCAAACAAAATTTTAAAAAATTAAAACCGTAAGCATAAGTTCATCATACAGGAACAGATATTGAAAAAGGCCGTATGCCTCCATGGTTCCTGGCACCAAGTTCAGGTACCCAGAATTGTGTATTCAGTGCCTTCACTGGCGGAGCCATTGGGCCAGCCCCCATGTTTTTATGTTTTAAATATAACATGGGTAACATTTACCAATATTTAATCATAGCATGATATCCTGATGAAAGTGACATGTTTCCTCTCATGGGTCCATTTCTAGTTTCCTTTTGCTTTCCTTGATAATTTGACCTCAGGGATGCTGGCCTCTCAAGAGCCGAGCATTCCTTTCCATCCATTGAAGCCCTTCTCTTATGGCCACCAGGGGGCGCACACAGCCGCAACATAGGCTCAGCGCTATCCAGCGCAGCTAATCCACTGCTGCGCCCTCCTGTTTTCTCTCATTGGTCTCCGTCTGCAAGCTTCCCACAGCCACCTAAATCCCGTTTCAGGACAGCTTCTAGATGCTTGAGCGAGGGAGGCAGAGTCTTTTTTGGGGAAGTCTGCGCTAAAGCTTCGCAACTCCAGCAAGCAAAATTGGTTCTTTCCAATGTCTCTGGTGACCAAAACTTGAAATGTTCTGAAGTTCCAAAGTTGTGAGGAGCCAAGGTGGGACCCTAGGTAATGTAAAAAACAAAACTAAAAGGCTTTGCCCAAACTGTATGACCATAACAACATGAGACTGTTCCTATACGCCCCGAGTCTGCCTCCGGAGATGCCATGCGCTCACGCTTCTTGCCAACGGGGAAACAAGGGTTATTTTCTAAGGTGACTTCGTTGGAGGAAAAACAGTCTTTGTTTAGTGGCTTTGCTTTCATACCTCCTCTGTGGATTTTGATTTGATTTTTCTTAAAGACCTGAAAACAAAAATATTGGAGACAGCCGGGCAGTGGTGGCGCATGCCTTTAATCCCAGCACTGGAGGCAGAGACAGGCGGATCTCCGTGAGGTCGAGGCCAGCCTGGTCTACAGAGCAAGTTCCAGGACAGGCTGCAAAACTACAGAGAAACCCTGTCTTGAAAAATAAAGCAAAACAAAATTAAAAAAAAATTGGAGACAGAGTTTGGCTATGTCTGGTCCCAAACTCACAATCCTCTATAGTACGGGGATTACAGGCATGCAGTAAGCACTCTGGTTACCTGGAAATTAAAACACAAACAAACAAACGTTGTAGTGTGTCCGTCCATCTATTCATGCCACAACGTGTGAGTAGAAGTCGGAGGACAACTTCTAGGCGTTGGCTCTCTCCTTCCAGCACGAGACTCCTGGGGATGCAACGCAGGTTGTTAGGAGTGGCAGGCAGCACCTTTATCTCATGGGCATCTCATTGTCCTTGATCCCAAAGTCTTCTTTTTTTGGAGTAGGGGGTGCAGCAGGGGTATTTTGCAGACAGGGTTTCTCTGTGTAGCCCTGACTGTCCTGGAACTCACTCTGTAATCCAGGCTGGCCTCGACCTCAGAGATCTGCCTGCCTTTAACCCATGAGTGCTGAGCTTAAAGGCACGCGCCACCACCGCAGTAGAAATTACTTTTTAAGCAGAAGGTGATGCTGACTAGCTGAATGTGACAGAGGTGTAGAAAAACCCGGATGGTCATAGGCCATGGTAAACTGGTTGGAAATTGGTTTAACAATGATAGTAAAACACAACTTTGAAATTACAGAGGATTGTGAGCTGGCATGTGGGTGCTGGGAATTGAACCCAGGTCCTCTGGAAGAGCAGTCAGTACTTTTAACCGCTGAACCATCTCTCCAACCCCTACACTGTATACTCTTAAAACTGGTGAAAATTGCTGGACATAGTGGCACCCAACTTTAATCCCAAAACTCAGGAGGCAGTAAGTTCCAGGACAGCCAGGACTACCTAGAGAGACACTGTCTTAAAATTGGGGCAGGGGGCTGGAGAGATGGCTCAGAGGTTAAGAGCATTGCCTGCTCTTCCAAAGGTCCTGAGTTCAATTCCCAGCAACCACATGGTGGCTCACAACCATCTGTAATGAGGTCTGGTGCCCTCTTCTGGCCAGCAGGCATACACACAGACAGAATATTGTATACATAATAAATAAATATTTAAAAATAAAATAAAATAAAATAAAATTGGGGCAGGAGAGACCGCCCTTGCTGCTCTTGCAGAGAACTGGGGTTTGGTTTCTAGCAACCTATATCAGACAGCTCCCACCTGCCTGAACTTCAGCCCCAGAAGATCAGATGCCCTCTTCTGACCTCTGTAGGTACTGTACCCATGTGTGCACTTCCCCATATACACATACACATGTGATTAAAAACACATCTTTTTAAAAAATGCATACTCATTTAATCCCAGCACTCAGGATGCAGAAGCAGGCAGATCTCCGAGCTCAAGGCCAGCCTGGTCTACAGAGTGAGTTCCAGGACAGATAGGACTACACAGAGAAACCCTGTCTTGAAATCCCATAGATAGATAGATAGATAGATAGATGACAGATAGATAAATGTATACTCGAGCAGTTGAGGCAGAAAGAGGGATAATTCAAGACTAGCCTTGGCTACCTGGCAAAGAACTGTCTCAAACAAAACAGTATAAAAATATAAGCCGGGCGATGGTGGCACACACCTTTAATCCCAGCACTCGGGAGGCAGAGGCAGGCGGATCTCTGTGAGTTCGAGACCAGCCTGGTCTACAGAGCTAGTTCCAGGACAGGCTCCAAAGCCACAGAGAAACCCTGTCTCGAAAAACAAAAACAAAAACAAAAAAAAAACAAAACTTAACAATAATATAACACAGTCTTGTAAGATATTACTGGTTGGGATAGTAACTCTGTATTTTCTTCCTTCCTTCCTCCCTCCTCTCTCTCTTTCTTTCTTTCTTTCTTTCTTTCCTCTCTCTCTCCCTCCCTTCCTTCCTTCTCCTTCTTTTTGTGTTTTTTCAAGACAGGTTTTCTCTGTGTAACAAATTAAAGGTGTGTACCACTGCACCCAGTTTAACTCTGTAGTTTCTGTTCAAATTTTTTATAAACCTAAAATTGCTTTTTAAATATCTACTAATTAGAAATAACAATAAGTAGCTAGGTAGTGGTGGTGCACACCTTTAATCCCAACACTTGGGAGGTAGAGGCAGGTGGATCTCTGTGAATTCTAAGCCAGCTTGGTCTACAAAGCAAGTTCCAGGACAACCAGGGCTGTTACACAAGGAAACCCTGTCTCGAAAAAGCAAAAAGAAAGAAAAAAGAAGAGGAGGAAGAGGAAGAAGAAGAAGAAGAAGAAGAAGAAGAAGAAGAAGAAGAAGAAAGTAAAACAAAAAACAAAACAAAACTATAAGCTAAGCTGGCTTAGTGGTGATGAGACTAGAAAGTTTCTTCAATTTTGAAGCCAGTCTGGGATGCATAGCAATATAAGGGCTATAGAGAGTCTGTCTTAACAATGAAAAACAGAAGACAGAAAAACAAACCCCAAGACAGTAACAAAAAACAACAAATCCTTACAGACTCACTAAAGTCGTACTGCTGGGCAGTGGTGGTGCCCGCCTTTAATTCCAGCACTCAGGAGGCAGAGACAGGCAGATCTCTGTGAGTTGAAGGTCAGCCTGGTCTACATATCAAGTTCCAGTGCAGGCTCCAAAACTACAGAGAAACCTTGTCTGGAAAAACAAAACAAAACAAACAAACAAACAAAAACAAAACTTCCCATTTCTTTCTTTTTTTCTTTTTGTTTTTTCCAGACAGGGTTTCTTTGTGTATCCCTGTCTGTCCTGGAACTTATTCTGTAGACCAGGCTGGCCTTGAACTCGTAGATCGCCTGCCGCTGCCTCTGCTTCTGGGGTGCTGGGATTAAAGGCGTGCACTGACACTTAAATGTCCCATGTCTTTCTTTGTGACCATGGTGACAGATGTTTAATGCAATTGCTGTTTGGGTAGGTTTTTTTATTGTTTGTTTGTTTGAGATAGGGCCTCATGTAGCTCACACTGGCTTTGAACCAAGTGTGTGTCTTTAATCATATCTCTGTGCTTGAGGTAGCCTAGTCTACACAGTAAGTTCCAGGCCAGCCAGAGCTACACAGTCAAAGATAAGAACAAAATAAAAAACCTCCCAACCCTCAAGATGAGGAGGGCATCTGGGATTACTCCTTTGTGATCTCATCACATGTGAGTGGGTGTTTTGCCTGAAGTACCACTTAAATTCTGGCCCATGGAAGTCAGAAGCGGGTGTCGGATCCCTTGGAGTTACAGATGATTGTGAGCCTCTATGTGGGTGCTGGGATCCTGGGTGAGCTCTCTGCAAGGGCAGTGTTCTTAATCACTGAGCCACTCCAGCAGCAAATGCTCAACCTCTCTTCTCTCAGACTCACAGACCCGACCCCGACAACCTCACTGTGGCTTGCAGGAACTGTCCAGCCTGTTCTAGCCAGCTTGAGTCCTTTTGGTTCTGGACTTTTGAGCCGAGCTGGATCCGGCAAGCACACACACACACACACACACACACACACCCACACACACACACACGGGAGCTCCTCCCAGCCATGTTTTGAATCGGCATGGCTTTCTCTAATGGGATGACCCTGGCTAAAGAGATTAACAACTGCACTGTGGATCCCACTTTTAATCCACAGTGTTCGGGCTGTCCCTCCTGGGCTGGGAAGGACACTGCAGAAACGGCGGCCTAGACTAGCTCCTGCTACCATTACTGAGTTAACGAGGATTCTAGGCTAGGGAGGCCCCAAGATGGGCAACTCCCAGCTGCTTGGGTCCATAGTGCTCTTCCTAAGGCCCTAAGTGGTCTAGCCCCTGACCTCACTAGGGTTAGGAGTGGAAGCTGAACTGTGGGAGGCTGCCTGGACCCCACTTGGTAAGCATGGCACTGCTCAAAGTCAAGTTTGACCAGAAGAAGCGGGTCAAGTTGGCCCAGGGGCTCTGGCTTATGAACTGGCTGTCTGTGTTGGCTGGCATCATCCTCTTCAGCCTGGGGCTCTTCCTGAAGATTGAGCTCCGCAAGAGGAGCGAAGTGATGAATAACTCTGAAAGCCACTTTGTCCCCAATTCCCTGATAGCGGTGGGGGTGTTGTCCTGTGTCCTCAATTCTCTGGCTGGCAAGATCTGCTATGACGCTCTGGACCCTGCCAAGTACGCCAAGTGGAAGCCTTGGCTGAAGCTGTACCTGGCCGTCTGCGTCCTCTTCAACATCATCCTTTTCCTCGTGGCTCTTTGCTGCTTCCTGCTGCGGGGCTCCCTGGAGAGCACCCTGGCTTCCGGGCTCAAGAATGGGATGAAGTACTACCGGGACACTGACACCCCAGGTAGATGCTTCATGAAGAAGACCATCGACATGCTTCAGATCGAGTTCAGGTGTTGTGGCAACAACGGCTTCCGGGACTGGTTCGAGATTCAGTGGATCAGTAATCGCTACCTGGACTTTTCCTCCAAGGAAGTCAAAGAGTGAGTAGCCGCCGCTCCAGGGTGGGAGACCCAGGGTTTGATTGCTCAGCCTGCACAGGGCATTTTCCTCTCTGTTGGGTATAGAATCGATCAGGTTTTGAGGTGTGTGTGGGGAGGGGGTTCGGGGGCGTTATGCTGGACCATGTGCAGTTGCCAGCATCTGGGCCCTCTGGCCCTCAACGATGGCAGCTTCGTCTGGCTCAGCCTCGTGTTCTAGCCGAGGTGGGGAAAGGTGTGGAGTGAGGTGAAGATGCTTAGGTGAGTTGGAGTTACTAGGAGGAGAGCTGTAATGTGGAGCCTGTCACACAGTAAGAATGGGGCCCTCAGAGCTCACTTGGACTCAGATAGTTCTTGGTACTTATCCTGTCCCCTCGAATTTCCTGGTTTGCACCTTGGTTTGCCAAGTTTTCAGCACTTGAAAAGGCCAAAGTGTCGGCAAAGAGTCTGTCCTTGGTTATGGCAGAATTTGAGGTAAACCATGTTCCTGTGACTTTCAGGGAACAGATCAGCTTGGGACTGTACTTTGTTCTCAACTGCTCTGTGACTTTAGCCAGGTCGCACACCCCTGGACTTCTCTCTCCATCTTTCGAGGGAAGATACTGGAATATGTGATTTGTCTATGTCTGGTATACAGCAGGTGCTAGTTAAATGCCGCTTGTTCTGTTTTTCTTTCTTCCTTTTTGTTTTGAGTCAGGATCTTACTGTGTAGTTTGGCTGCCTGGAACTTCTTACGTAGACTAGGCTGGACTTAACTCGGAGAGATACTTCTATTTTTGCCTTTCTTTTCTTTCTTTCTTTCTTTTTTTTTTTTTTTTTGTTTTTCGAGACAGGGTTTCTCTGTGGCTTTGGAGCCTGTCCTGGAACTAGCTCTGGCCTGGTCTCGAACTCACAGAGATCTGCCTGCCTCTGCCTCCCGAGTGCTGGGATTAAAGGCGTGCGCCACCACCGCCAGGCTTATTTTTGCCTTTCAAGTGCATGTGAACCATGCCCAGCGCGTTTTTATCTGTGTGCAGGTATACAGTGTGCCACAGTGCACGTGCAGAGGGAGCCGGGTCTTTCTCTCCACTGTGAACCCGGTGTTCATACTCTGGTTGTCAGGTGTGGCAAGCGTATGGCGAAGCATATGGCGAGCATGGCAAGTGCTTTTATTCACAGTCTTTAGCACAACAGTTTTCCAAAATATTCTTCATCAAGCCGGGCGATGGTGGCGCACGCCTTTAATCCCAGCACTCGGGAGGCAGAGGCAGGCGGATCTCTGTGAGTTCGAGACCAGCCTGGTCTACAGAGCTAGTTCCAGGACAGGCTCCAAAGCCACAGAGAAACCCTATCTCGAAAAACCAAAAAAAAAAAAAAAAAAAAAAAAAAAATCTTTGTCGTGTGTGAAAATGAAGTCCTGTGGGGGGTGGGTGCTGGTGAGAACAGGCCCTGGCCTTAGCTCAGGCTGCTCTTCCCCATGGATGATCTCCAGGGAGGGGGCTGACGTTCCAGGGCGGTGCCTTGCCCAGCTGCCCTTTTCTCTGAGTAACTCTGGCAAATCTCAGGGTGTACTGAACTGATGGGTACCCAGCAGCAGAATGCGCTTGAAGCCCGAGGTTCCAGGACGGCTGATAGCTTAGACGAGGCTTTGCTCTCAGGTGGAAGGAAGCCCAAGAGAAGGTCACTGCTTGAGATGTTGTTTTCTCTGTGGAAGGAGATTATGGCCACAAATCCCCAGCCAAGGAGAGGATTGTGACCAGCTCTGCCCTTTCTAGATGGAAGGTCTGTGGGGACAGGCTAGGAAGGCATGATTTGCATAAGCTGCCTCAGGAGGATGGGTAGCCAGGGGCCAAGCAGAACTCTTGGGACTATGAGAGGCCAATGTAAAACCAGATGAATAAGGCTTTCGTTCATCTCTTTCGCGTTTCTTTCTTTCCTTTTCTAATGTGCTCTCTGAACGGGAACCTTTCCTTTTTCCTCCTTTTCAAATTGATTGTGTAAAGTGTTTTGAGCAGGTCCACTCCCTCCCCTCTGACCCTAGTCCCCACTGTTATTTCCTCCCAATTTCATGTGTTCTCTCTCTCTCTCTCTCTCTCTCTCTCTCTCTCTCTCTCTCTGTGTGTGTGTGTGTGTGTCTCTCTCTCTCTCCTTTCTCCTAAATAAATGGAGTCCAGTTAAACCATGGTGTCTGGCCATCTGCCAGAGCGTGGATAGTTTTTCAGGGTCCACCTCCCTGAGGAAAACTGACCCTCCCTCCCTGAGGGCCATCAGTTGCTAATGGCTCCTTAGTTAGAGTTGGGAATTCCTGACTACTTCTCCATCCATGCTGGGCTCTTTCTGGCTTGATTTTGTGCAGATCTGACGCCTGTGGTCAACAGCTGCTACCATCTCGTGTGCAACTGCCCTGTTGCACCTGGAAAGCACTGTTTATCTGTAACATTGGCTCGCAAACGCTCTACCCACTTCTCCCGAGATGACGCCTGCGCATGGGGAGGAGGGCTGTGATACAGGCGACCCATTTATGGCTGAACAGTCTCGCATTCCCTGCCCACTGGCCGGTTGTGAGCCTCGGTGTTAATCATCAACTGCTGTAAAAAGAAGCGTCTCTGGTGGAGAGGGACAGCGCTGTGGACGGTGTAATAAGTCAGTAGGAGCTGTTTGGTACTGCGGCCATTTACACAGTAACAGTAAGTCTCCCAGGGAACCTTCCCTCTCCCCACTTAGTGCTAGGGATCAGCACGATGCAGGGCCTTGGGCACGCTAAGCAAGTGCTTGACCACGCGACACCTGCCCATCTGCCTCCCTACCTCCCTCCCTTTACCTGGAGGCAGGTGCTGTCCTTTCAGCTGCCCCCCAAAGCTGGCCTGGAACTCACAAAGATCTTCCTGTCTCTGCTTCCCAAGTGCTGGGATTAAAGATGTGTGCCACCACTGCCCAGTGGGATGCAATTATCTTAATTCCATTGTCCTGGAAAAATTTTCACTATTGTACACACAGAAAATATCATTGGCAATGGTAGGAGGCACAGCAGTAGAAAACCAGCAGGGTGTGGCAGTGCACTCTGGAGTACCCTAGCAGAGGTAGGCCAGCATGGTCTATAGATCAAGTTCTAGACAGCCAGGGCTACACAGAGAAACCCTGTCTTGAAAAATCAAATAAATAATTTAAAAAAAACCAGAAAATATAAAAAAAAATTCAAGAAAGATTCTCATCCATAATTGACAGGTGGCTTTACATTTTCTACATTTTATTCTAGTATTGTTCATATTTTCTTTTATTTTTACTTTTTTTTTAAAGATTTATTTATTATGTACACAACAGTCTGCCTCCATGTATGCCCGCACGCCAGAGGAGGGCACCAGATCTCATTACAGATGGTTGTGAGCCACCATGTGGTTGCTGGGAATTGAACTCAGGACTTCTGGAAGAGCAGGCAATGCTCTTAACCACTGAGCCATCTCTCCAGCCCTACTTTTTTTTTTTTTTTTGAGATAGGGTTTCTCTGTAGCTTTGGAGCCTGTCCTGAAACTAGCTCTGTAGACCAAGCTGGCCTCGAACTCATGAAGATCCGCCTGCCTCTGCCTCCTGAGTGCTGGGAATAAAGGCCTGTGCCACCACCGCCTAGCTCATGATCTTTTTTAACCACTGTGTACTATTCCCTGAAGAAGGACACTCTCAGGCAGGATCCTAGCTGCTCTCACCCTATTGCTGTCACCAGAGCAGTTTTCTTTCAGCCCTTTGCCCTTTGTCTGCTCTCTTAGCGCCCCAAGGCCAGGTTTGACTTTTCTGCACAAAGCTGGTGTTAAGGTACAACTATAACAGAAGGCAGAGGGGCGGATCTCTGTGAGTTCGAGGCCAGCCTGGTCTACAAGAGCTAGTTCCAGGACAGGAACCAAAAGCTACGGAGAAACCCTGTCTCGAAAAATCAAAAAAAAAAAAAAAAAAAACAGAAGGCAGAGGCAGGCAGGTCTCTGAGTTCAAGGCCAATCTGGTCTATGGATTTATTTCCAGGACAGTCAGTGCTACACAAAGAAACCCTGTCTCGAAAAACAAACAAACAAATGATACAACTGGGGGAATGAAACACCTCTAAGGACCTCATACCATAGTGGGATAGCCTGTGCTACCTTGGGCAGCGCTACCAGGGGATATCCCACCATCACTTTCCACAGGCGACCAGTACGGAGATCTTCCAGAGTCACATTTGCCTGAGATTGCGGTGTTGGGTCCCAAAGGAAGAATCAAGTTTAGCACGGGGGAGGAAGGGCCAAGCTCAAGGTGGAACTTTCCTGGTCCCTCTTGGTTCCCTATCCGGGGTATCACCTTGTTCACTTAGGGGCTGCCCTCCTTCCAAGCACAGATCAGGGCCTCTTAAGACAGCCAGGTGGCCCAGAGCTCCTTAGGTGCTGAGCCGGCTATTTATATCATCTGTTTCCCAGGCTGTGGAAGTACTGTGCCTGGGGGAACTGGGTCTTAGGGTCTTAAGGGAAAGCTTGTGTTCTAGGCTAGCCCCCCACAGCAAGGTGAATCTAGCCTTGTCAGGGCATCCTGCAGACTCTCCTGGAAAACGTGTCATTTGGTGGGTGAATTGATAAACCATAGGGAAAGACAGGAAAGCAGGCGGAGAGGGTCACAGGCATCCCGCGCATTGTGACTTCACCCTACTAGGTGCGGTGCACAGAGGGACAGCCGGGGAAGGGCCATTCCCTTGACTTCTGAACTTTGATAACCTACCTAAAAAGCTAGAATCTAAGACACTTTGGTGGAGAGTTGATCCAGGTAGGGGGCCCTTTAGGGCACGGGGCTTCCAGCCAGGACTTAGAACCAGCTTTCTTTGCCTCCCGCCCCACTTCCTCCCTCCTCTCTGGTACCTGATTTTTTTTTTTTATTTCTTTCTTGAGTATGTCAGGCACAATTCACTTCAGATGGTGATGTGTGTTGTCAAGGGGCGCCCTGTTAGGGAGACATGGCTACACCCTGTGGACACCAGTAGGGTATCTTGCTTACTGAAGTTTAGGAAGGGGAAGCGGGGAGATGTGAACACTCTAGGGTCTCTGCTGGCCTTGACCCCAAGACTGTCGACCTGACCCTCACTTCAGATGCACTGAGAGCGGGTGTGCTGGCTTCATTCCAGCTGGGGACGCCTGGGGACATCTGGGGTGATGTGGGTTGGGGTGTGGTGGTGTAGTGTTGTGGGGTGTGGGGTGGGGGTGTGGTGTGGGATGGGGTGTGGTGGTGTGGTGGTGTAGGGAGTGGTGGGGGGTGTGCTGGTGTGGGGGTGGTGTGGGGTGTGATGTGGTGGGGTGTAGTGTGGTGGGGTGTGGTGGTGTGGGGGGTGGTGGTGTGGTGTGGGATGGGGTGGTGTGGTGTGATGGGGTGGTGTGGTGTGGTGTGATGGGGTGGTGTGGTGTGGTGGTGTGGGGGTGGTGTAGGGTGGAGTGGGGTGTGGTGGTGTGCAGTGTGGTGTGGTGTGGGATGGGTTGATGGCATGAGGCAGTGGTCCTGAGATACAGACTAGGTAGAGGATCACCTTTTCTTCTGTTTTTGTTTTTGGTTTTTAGAGACAGGGTTTCTCTGTAGCTTTGGAACCTCTCCTGGAGCTGCTCTGTAGACCAGGCTGGCCTTGAACTCACAGAGATCCACCCCACCTGCCTTTCTTCCCCAAGTGCTGGGATCAAAGGCACGTGCTGGCTGCCATCACCACCCGTTTCTTTCATACTTAAGTCTCCCCAGGTAGAAGCCCCTAGAAGTGGGCTGGGATGGAACTCAGATGCTAGAATGTGCACCTAGCCTGGTGGAAGCCTTGGGTTCCTTTGCTGGCTCCACATATACAATGTGGTTGCTCATGCCTGTAATCTTAGCACTTGGGAGGAAAAGATGGGAATCAGAAATTCAAAGTCATCCTCAGATACTTGGCGAGTTCAAGGCCAGCCAGCCTAGGATAGAGGCCTCCCCTCCCTGGGAAGCAGGTAGATTCCAGGCTAATAGGGAAGTCAGCGGGTAACTGCTGTGGTTGTTGTTAATTACCTGTGTGGTTTTAGATGAGAAGCTGTCCTGCCCAGAACCCCACTTCCTCCTCTCCAGAACAATCTGGTGGTTTCCAAGGTCCTCTTCAAAGGCCTGAGATGGAGAGAAGCCAAGGAAGCAGTGTGCTACTTGTATTGGCTCCTGCCACCTCACACAGGCCCAGGAAGGCCTGGCCTCACAGTAACAAGTGGCCCTGAGATCTGTTCTTTGCCATACCCACACTGTCCCTGGGGACTTAGAAATGGCTTCGGAGAATATATGTGCTTGGAGAGAGGGCTCAAGGGGCAGCCTGCGAGTCAGAAGCAGGACAAACGGCACCTAAGTGTGGACGCCCTCAGGTTTGAGTAAAGTCCTTTGACGGTCCGGGGTGCTTGAAGAGAGGGATCATCCCAGAGACTAAATTCTGCTCAGTGTTCCCAGGGCCCCTGGCCTTCAGGAGGGAAAGGGTAGACAGATGGGGACCTCTGCTGGCCTCAGCCTTAGGACCACTGCTCTGACCCTCATTTTAGATATCCTTGGGGCATACCTGAGGCGAGTGTTCAGGCTTCACCCCAACTCAGGGACATGTGAAGGTCCTGCCAACACCCCTCCAACCTGTCTTCCTGCCCTACCAAGGGCCCCCCAACCAGCACTGATTCAGCACCGCATAGGACAGGCACTGAGCTCAATTCAAGCTCCAGGAGCTTAGGAGCCAAGCGAGGCCTGGCTCATGCTGTCCCGTGCGCAATGGCGCCGGCAGGCAGATGGCTCCTGTGGCAGCCCGGGGTTATGCAGTCTGTCTCCTCCACGGCAGCGAGCCTTACTCTGCAGCTGCCCTCAAAGGCCAAGCACCACAGCCACTAGCTCACAAGTGACCGTGTCCCCGTGAGGTCCTCTGGTCTGTTGGTTTCAAAGCCCGATAGAGGCTTCCCAGGTGCTCAGGATGGCTCCTACTTAGCCTCTGCCCAGTGAGGCGCCATTTGTGTGCTCGGCATTTCCTGCGCACCACGCCCTCTTTAAGCGCACGATCCTCACGTCGCCCCCGTTGTGCAGCTGAGGTAGCGGGTCTGTGCAGGGCAGAAGTCAAAGTCAGTGGTCCCCTCTTCCCCCCCTCATGCCCTCGCCACCTAGTGCCATCTATTCTTTAGGCAGTGCACCCTGCCCACGAATAGATGTCAGGGCTGAAGGACGCGGAGGGTGGAGGTGCGTCATAACTCAGGCCACCGTGTGCAGTCTTCCCACAGCCCTAACCCGTACGGGTGGAAAGCGGCAGGCGTCTCGTGGAAATGGCCCCACAGCTGTGTCTACACACAAGGGTGCTCAGCTTATCCTGGAAAGAGAAACACGGAAATTCAGATAAGTTGAAGGTTGCGAGTGAGGGGGGCAGGGGAAACCAGCTCCTCCAAGTTGTCCTCTGATCTGTCTCCACGTGGCGCCATGATACATGCGTGTGCCCACGATAATAAGTGTCCCCTCAAGTAAGATATCGATGAAGTCCCTTAAAGCAAAGCAAAACTCAAGGTGCGAGTTTCCATCCACTGGGTCTGCAGGGAGCAAAGCTTGGACTACCGTGGGCGTGGCCGGGAGGGGCGTGGCTGGGAGGGGCAGGTTATCTCCCGTGACTGACTGGACGTGTGACACAGCCTCTCAAGGGAGAAGGATGATGAGGACAGGGCAGGATCACCCATAGGCACAGGGCACTTCTACAGATTCTCCGTCTGTATTCTACACAAACAAACCTATGGACCACATGGTCCATCCCCACATCAGGCTGCCACAGATATAGCTCACTGAAACAAGAAAACAAAACAAAACAAAATCCAGGACGCTCTCCATCAGCAGATGCGAAAAGACGCCTAAGTCTAGTATGTAAAGCTACCATGTGGACTTTCCATTTTGAAAAACAATTATTATTGTTATTATTATTACTGGTGTGTGTGTGTTGCGTGCATATAGGCATGTGTTCTGTCGCGTGCCCGTGGAGGTCAGAAGACACCCTGTGGAACTGTTTTCTCCTCCTACTGTGTGGTCCTAGTGACGAGAATCAGCCTTCAGGCTTGGCAAGCCCCTTTACCCACTGAGCCATCTTGCCAGCCCCGATGTGGGCTCTGACAGATGAGCGTGCGAAGGCAGGCTTGATTCATTTTATGTGTATGAGGGTGCATGGACTCGTGTGCTCATGTGTCTGTGGACACGAGGACGCACGGGTGTGTGGAGGGCTGAGGGCGACCTTAGGTGTCCTCAGGTGTGGTCAAGCAGGTTGCGCTGGCTAGCCAGTGACTTCCAGGAATCTATCTGTTTGGTTCCCTAAAGCCCAAGCCCTCAGGGCAGTAGATGGAATTGGGGTCCTTCTGCCTGTGTGGTCAAGCACTTCACCGATCTGAGCTGTCTCTTTAGCCTTTATCTATGCATTTTTGGAGACAGAATCTTAAGTAACCTGAGCTGGCCCTGACTGCACTATGTAGCCAAGGATGCCCTTAAACTCCTAATCCTCCTGCCTGTACCTCCTAAGGGCTGGGACCACAGGGTGCCCCTCTGTGCCCAGAGAGCACACACACCTTAAGTGTGCTGCTGGAGGAATCTTGTCACCCCTGGTCAGGAGGCACGGATAGCCTGTGGAGGTGGGAAGGAATCACCGTGAAGATTCCTTTTGGATTTTGGATCCCTGTGAAGGCACAGCATACCCTAAGGAAACCAACACAGACACACAGAGTGGCTGCGAGCCTCGCTTGGCAGTTCGGGAGTCGAGGATTCAGTCTTGTCTTTCAAAGTGGGTAGGAAGGTTTCTCTGCTGTGAGGTTAGAGGTGGGGGCTGCGTCTGTCCCCAGTCTTCATGTCCTGCCTCTGCACAGGTCCTGGGCCAGAATAGGCCTTCCGGAAACATCTTTCTAGAAAGGGCCTTGCTCACGAATGGCCTGTGAAAGGGAAAGATGGCTGCCGAAGGGGTGAGGGGTTAAATTCTAACAGTGGGAAAGATGGCTGCCGAAGGGGTGAGGGGTTAAATTCTAACAGTAGCAGCAGTCACCTCAATCCTAGGTCCTTAATTCCTACTGGCCTGGAGTGGATCCAAGAAGTCCCTGCAAGCTGGGGGCCTGCCCGGCAACATAGGGTGCCTGCGTACATTTCTGTGTTCCCTCTGCCTCCATCTTATGGACCATGCACTCCAGGAGGACAGGGATGGGGGCAGAGCTCACTGCTCTGTCTCTAGCCCCAGCACAGAGGCTGCTATGTGGTGGGTGCTGGTGGGCTGTGAGGACTGAAAAGCAGTTTTCAGTGGGTGGGGGGGTGGGGGGGGCGATACCATGAGATGTCCTGAACCAGGCTGTTTCTCTTTCAGTCGCATCAAGAGCAACGTGGATGGGCGGTACCTGGTGGACGGCGTCCCTTTCAGCTGCTGCAACCCCAACTCACCACGGCCCTGCATCCAGTACCAGCTTACCAACAACTCGGCACACTACAGCTATGACCACCAAACCGAGGAGCTCAACCTCTGGCTGCGGGGTTGCAGGGCCTCCCTGCTGAGTTACTACAGCGGCCTCATGAACTCCATGGGTGTGGTCACATTCCTTGTCTGGCTCTTTGAGGTAGGCCACAGAGGACAGGGAGAGGGAGCCTGCCTGACTTGGCTGTACATGGTGAAGCCAGACCTGGGGAGCAAACCTTCAGGGTCTCATGTAATCTAGGCTGGTCTTGAACTTGATACATAGCCAAGGCTAGCCCTGAATTCCTTATCCTGTTGACACTGCCTCCCAAGTGCCAGGAAACGTGTCCATCACTATGTCTGACTTCTTTTTATTGTTGAGACAGTCTTACTATGTTGCCCATGCTGGCCTTGAACTTACTTTCTCCAGCCTCAGCTTCCCCGCTAAAGCTGGGACAGTAGTATGTGCCACCATGCCTGGCATCATTGCTTACAAAATTATTTAGATAAAACCAACATAAAATTAACCTTTTTTTCTTTATTTTACTTTCTTTTTTATTTTCCTTTTTTTGTTTTTTTGTTTTTTTTTTTCAAGACAGGGTTTCTCTGTAACTTTGGAGCCTGTCCTGGAACTAGTTCTTGTAGACCAGGCTGGCTTTGAACTCATAGAGATCTGCCTGCCTCTGCCTCCCGAGTGCTGGGATTAAGGGCATGTGCCACCACTGTCCAGTTCTTCTTTTTTCTTTTTGACATAGGGTCTTTCTCTAGATAGTCCTGACTATTCTAGAACTCTCCATGTAGACCAGGTTGGCCCCAAACTCAGAGATCAGCCTGCGCCTGCCTGCTAAGTGCTGGGATTAAGGGTGTGCGCTACCATGCCCTGCAAAAATCAAGCCACTTAGTGTATTCATAGTAACGCCTGTCTGCCCCCTCAGTCTAGTTCTAAAACACTTCATAGCCCCCCAAGGAAACTCAGCACCACAAGTCTGTGGCAGCTATCCGTCTCTGTGCTGTGTTGGGCCCTTGCACTACGCAACCTTTTATGTTTGGCTTTCCACTTAGATCAACTTGGGGTTCCTCTTGTGCTTCTGCTTTTTGTTCTGAGGTCTTAGATGGTTATAGTGACATCACATGGGGACAGCGGCATTACCTCTGGGGACATAGACAGTGACGTCACTGGGCCCTTCAGTCAACAGGATCTGCGTGGACTTGTGCTTCGTGTGTTGTGTGCAATGTTGGTCTAACAGTCTAACTGTCAGCGGGTCCACTTTATGTCACCCGCAATACGTAGTTCCTCTTTCTGAAGCTCTGGAGCCCCATCCTCTCCCCCGTCCAATTCCTCCTTGGAAGGGCATTTGTAACCATTGCTGGGAGCTGTTCCGGGTGCTGAACACTCCACAAGGTTCTCAGGTGTGACTCAGGTGTGACTCAGGGCGCCTGCACTGAGCAATTCCTGCCCCAGAAAACCCAGGCTCCAAAATCCAAATGTACCAAGACAGAAACATTAACTGAGACAGTTTCCTTCTATCAGAGACGAGTCCTTGAATCTCTCATGTAGTCCGTGGAGGAGGACAAGGGGGTATCTACCTAGGTCTAAACCATACGTGAAATGACATCGCGGCTGGACCACATCCAAGGCTTTTGATATTGAGGCAAAGGCAGCACCTCATGGCCATTTATTAGCTGACGATGCTTTGAGGTAGTCTTGGGAATGATGGCTTGAGGGGAGCAGCCTATCCCCAGGGTGACGGTCAGCACCGTTTAAACCCATGATGGGATGCCTGTCCTTGAAGACTGTAGAGGAGCACCTGGTCTCCTAGGTCACTGCTGCTGGACACCCGCTCACAGGGACTGGTTCACTGGGAACAGGGAATCTGAACACCCCAACTTCTAGTGAGCAGACCTGCTATAGACCCTGGGCTGCCAGAGCTCCTGGCTGAGTTGTGACCTTGGCCATGACCTCCTTGCATCACAGGTGAGGAGATGAGCAAACGCAATGCACAAAAGGGCAGATGCAGAGTCCACGGTGCAGCTCCTTCAGCAGGAGGCTGTCACGGTGCAGCAGGCTGCTCTCAGGAGGAGGTCGCTTTTCCCATTGTAGAACGTGTTATTAGCTTTCAACATACAGCAATCCCTAAGATTGGCTGCTCCTACAGTTAAATTCTCCCCAGTGCACTCACTAGCAGCTGTGTCGGTGAGATGCTGACCCACCCTGTGTCGTCTGGGCTGGGGCGCTGGATGAACCAGGTGTATGGGGTAGGGGGACACTCCTACTCCTAGGGAGCAGCCTGGAGCTGCAGGTTTCCATCACTGAAATCTGGAAGCCAGAAGGTGCAGCCATTGTCTCCTAGTCTCCCAGTCAGGCAAGTACAAGGCTGCGCTGCCAATCCAGGCGCCTTTGGCTCTAGGGGCCGCCATAGCGGATGCTAGTGCAGATATGCAAGCAGCCGGTGACAGACATCCGTTCATCACCACACGCATGACAACAGATGACCCCACACTGCAGGGTTTGCAGACAAGGAGGTAGCTTTAATTTTTTCCATATTTTTGTGTGTGTGTTGTCTGCATGTATGTCTGTGCATCGCGCACATGCATGGTGCCAGTGGAGGTCAGAAGATGCCGTCGGATCCCCTGGAAGTGGAGTTATAGATAGTTATGAGCTGCCCTGTGGCTGAGGGAACCAAGCCTGGATGCTTGACAAGAGATCTTGACTGCTTAGTCTCTTCCAGGATCAGAAATGACTTCTTTGGTTTGGTTGGTTGAGACAGGATCTCTCTACATAGTCCTGACTGTTCTGGAGTTCTTTGGTAGACCAGGCTGGCCTTGAACTCACAGAGATCCATCTGCCTCTGCCTCCCCAGCACTGGGATTCAAGGTGTGAGTTACTGAGCCTGACCTAGGAGTAACTTTTTCAAAAATTATGTTTGTTTTTTGTTTGTATTTTGTGTGTATGTGTGAGCATGTGTGTGCCACAGCACACTTGTGGAGGTCAGAGGACATCCTGTGGTAGCCAGTTGTCTCCTTTCACCATGGGGAATCAACCTCAGGTTGGTTCTTGGCAGCAAATACCTACCTGTCAATCCACCTTGGTTGCCAAACCAGGAGGTGACTTTGTGACCCTATCCATGAAGCTGCTGACATTCTAATGGGCCAAGAAACACACTGTGAAAGGGTGGGAGGGCTGGTGTGTCCAGCAAGGTGGAGGCAGGAAGAAGGGGAAGGAGGGGGCGGCAGGGCACTCACTCAGGGTTGGCTCTGGATTAACAGGTAACCATGGAGAGCCATGATGATCTAGGCAAAGGATATTACATGTTCTACCAGCTGCAGGGAGTGGATGGGATGGGGCACTGGAGAGGGAGGCCAGGGTGGGATGGGTCCGGCCTTTACCAACCCAGGTTTGGTGCCACCATCAGCTTTAGTGCCGCACCTGGGGAGATGTGTGTTGCTGGCGCTCACATTTTCCTAATAGCCCAACCCTTAGCTATGCCCCATGTCTGCTCTAAGTCTTGGCTCTCCCCATCAGGTGAGCATTACTGCCGGACTCCGCTACCTGCACACGGCGCTGGAAAGTGTGTCCAACCCCGAGGACCCTGAGTGCGAGAGTGAGGGCTGGCTGCTGGAGAAAAGTGTGCCCGAGACCTGGAAGGCCTTTGTGGAGAGCTTTAAGAGGCTGGGCAAGAGCAATCAGGTGGAGGTCGAAGGCGCAGATGCAGGCCAGGCCCCAGAGGCTGGCTGATGGCTTGGGATCTCTCCCCTCGTCAACACTTAGCGGACTCCAGGAAATGTGGATACCCCCTTGTCCAGCTGAAAGCCCGAATTTCCTAAGAAAGCCGGGTACCTACTGACTCTCCTTGACAGTGGGCTTTGAAGTTCAGGGTCCTTAGGGCATGCGACAAACATTTGTGAAATGACTGCGTTCACATGTGTGTGAGTGAACCCTTCACCATAGACATGCAGTCTCACGGGCCGGCCGGCCCAGGATTCATCTCCGCCCTGTGAGTCCAGCTCTCCCACAGGTGACTGGCCACACCAAGGCCCCTGCCCCGGTAGTGCCCACCTCTTCTCAGTTCCAAGTTCTGCATCCGAATCATCAATCACTTGATACATAAACACAAGGGTGAAAAAAACCTAAGGGCCATGTTGTCTTTTCTTAAAGACAGGGTTAACAGTCATGTTTTGCTTGTTAGATAATGGGGGAGGGGCAATGGACCCCCCCCCCCTGCAGAGGGTTACCTCCACATAGGATTCAGGGATGGTGAAAAGTGGGGCTTCCTTCTCTTTAGCTTCACTAATTCCAGCTCGAACCATGGGCTGCTGGCATATCCCAGCATCCCCTCCACTCACAAAGTGCTGGGTGAGCCACCACCTGCGGCTCGTCTGAGAAAGAACAGAGAGAGCTTGCTGTCCTGTGGAAGAGGAGGAACGACTAAACAAAGGTCCACTTGGGGACCAGGCCTTGGTGGGCGTGGGGACATAGGCTCAGGTGGCCAGGACAGTCCTGTCCAGAGGAGGGTAAGAGCCTCTGGAAACTTCTGTTTCTCTCCACAAAGTGTTGTGGGAGTGCTGGAGACAGGTTTTCTTCCCACACTAGATTTACCTGCAGAAGTTGCCATTTCTTCTGGGAAAGACAGGCGAGCCCTCGGGGGAAGGGAAACGAAGCAGAATTTTGCTGGCACCCAGGCTGGGGGTGGCCAGTTTGGCATAGGAGCGCACTGTGTGGTTCGAACCCCTCTCCGGGGGAAGACCCAATCAGAGATGCTGATACACCCAACATTTTGCCCTCAGTGTAGTCTTTTGAGCCCCTCAGAGCAAGGGCTGGCCCAGAGGCTGAGGCAGGCACCTGTGGTGAGGACCCTGAGTTTCCCACCATCCTTCAGGAGGGCTGAGAACCATGGTGAAAGCTGCTTTAGACCCATGTGTAACTATGCTGTCAAGAGCCGTATTAAGAGACATTAAAAGCTATATTGTATGAAACTCACTGTTGTTAAGTGACTGTCTCAGTCCATTCAACAGCACGTACCACAGGATGTCCAGTTCTAGCCGGTACCTGTCCAAAAGGTAGAAACCAGGCCTGGCAGCGCATGCCTATGAGCCTGGCATTTGGAAGGATCAGGAGTTCAGCGTCATCTTCTACTCCAAAGTAAGTTCCAGCCAGGTGGTGGCGGAGGCGCACACCTTTAATCTCAGCACTCAAAAGGTAGAGGCAGGTGAATCTCTGCGAGTTCAAGACCACCCTTATCTACAAGTGAGTTCCAGGACATACCCCAAAGCTACAGAGAAACCCTGTTTCTTAAAACCAAAAAAAAAAAAAAAATGAAAAAGAAAAGAAAAAAAGTTTCAAGGCTAGCCTGGGCTACATGAGACTGTCTTATAAATAGGGGAGGGGTTGGAGGCTAGAAAGATTGACTCAGTAATTAAGAGCGCTTGCTATTCTTCCAGAGGACACATGTTCGGTTCCCAGCACCCACAGGTACATACTCACTGTAACTCCAGCTCCAGATCGGGTGTCTTTTTCTGGCCTCCATGAACACCCACACACATGGCACCCTCCCACAGATCCATAAATAATAACTTTAAAAAATCAAGTCTTAACCGGGTGGTGGTGGCACACACCTTTAATCCCAGCACTTTGGAGGCAGAAGCAGACAGATTTCTGAGTTTGAAGCCAGCCTGGTGTACAGAGTGAGTTTCAGGACAGCCAGGGTTATACAGGGAAACCCTGTTTTGAGTCTCCTCTCTCCAAAAAAGAATCTTTTTTTCCATTCTGGATTCTTTAAAAACAAACAAACAAGTTTTCCCAAATAGGTAAATATAAACCTTCTTGGGCCAGGTTATGGGCAGGTGTGGTTCAGAGAAGACAGGGTTAACTTGGTGATCTAACAGTGCCCAGTTACACAGCGGCACAAGGCCCCTCAAGTTTGTGTAAACTCACCAACAGGTGTGTCGCCCAGTCTCAGGCAGGGTCACTGGTAATGACAGAACCATGGACTTTCTTCTTCAGTGGTGTGATGGGTTAGACCCTGTCTTGTGTGTATGAAGGCTTTTCCCATCGAGCCACACCCCAGCCCAGAGTTCTGCTTAAACTGTGGCCCAAGTTGGTCTGGAACTTCCTATGTAAACCAGGCTAGCCTCAAACCCAGCCTCTTTTTATTTTTTTTAAGTTTTTGAGATGCGGTCTCACTGTGTAATCTTGATAGGCCTGGAACTTTCTATATAGACCAGACTGGCCTTGAACTCACAGAGATCCGCCAGCTTCTGCCTCCTGAGTGCTGGGGTTAAAGGCCTGCATCACTATTATCTTGACCCAGACTTCTGAAGTAACAGTTGGTGGCTTCTTATGCTGACTGCCCAGAGAGGCAGGACTCCTTGGAGTTTGTAGTCTCAGCTCAGATAAGAGCCCACAACTCCCTTCCACATGGCTTCAAGCTCAAGACTAAGCCACCGACAAATAAACCCCAAGTAACCTCAATATGGGCTAAGAAGATTAGTGAGCTCCTGCCGGGCGGGCACCTGCTAGGCCAGCAGGTCTGCAGCTTAGCTGGAACAATGAGGTCCTCTAACCCACAGTGTGGTGAGTTCTTGCTGTCAGTGGCAGAGATGAACCCGTGGAAGAGACAGTGGGAGAGATGCTTGCCCACTTCTCAGTGGACGTGGATTGGCTGAGGACGGGGACAGCATAATGGAAGGAACGCACAGCCAAACAGGAAATAAAAACCTGCGTCCACACAAACTCTACACAGGAGTGTTTGAAAGCCCGGGCTGCTCCCCAACAATCACCCAGTCCTTTAGATGGTGACCGCATTAACCTTGGCAGAGTGGACTCCACCAGCACCCAGAGACCTGTGTGACTCTCAAATGTCTGTGCCCTGGCTTGTGAGGCCATGTTAGCTGTGCCCCCCTTCCATGGAAGGTCTCCACAGGCTGGACGTGCCCTGGGGAGCCGAGTCCCAGTCTGGCTTCCCCAAGGCCACTCCTGCTTTTAATACTTTTATTTTATAAACTGTATCTCATATATTGCAGGCCTCAGACTCACTGTGTACCTGAGATGACCTTGAACTCCTGATCCCGCTAAGTGCTGGTGTTGTAGGTTACACGCCACAGCAGTTTTTGTCCTGGGATGAAACTCAGGGCTTCGTGTATGCAAGGCAGCTATGTTCTTCGGGTTTAAAATGTATCAGTCCGCAAAACAGCAGGCTGGGGAGGCACCTGATGTGAGGCCAGTCACCTGACATTCTGGAAGGAGTGCAGGACAGAGGAGTGAGCCAGCATTCAGGGCAGGGGGAGGAGAGGAGGGCATGAAGGGACAGTCTGGGGAGACAGGAGCATGCTCATTCTTAGTTGTGGTGGTTCTCAAACACTGTGTACATTTGTCAAAACGTAAACAACAATCCTGTCTTCTAGGAAGGATTACTTGTGTACTGTTTGTAAAGAAGACCTCAGTAAACACCACTCCCTAAGAGTGGGGATAGAGCATCTGGGCAGTGGCGACCCATGCCTTTAATCTCAGCACTTGGAGGCCAGAGCCAGGCAATCCCTGAGTTCAAGGCCAGCCTGTCCCCGTGGAGAGCCTGAGTGGAGAGGCTGACCCCTGACAGTGTCCCCGTGGAGAGGCTGACCCCTGACAGTGTCCCCGTGGAGAGGCTGACCCCTGACAGTGTCCCCGTGGAGAGGCTGACCTCTGACAGTGTCCCCGTGGAGAGGCTGACCTCTGACAGTGTCCCCGTGGAGAGGCTGACCCCTGACAGTGTCCCCGTGGAGAGGCTGACCCCTGACAGTGTCCCCATGGAGAGGCTGACCTCTGACAGTGTCCCTGTGGAGAGGCTGACCCCTGACAGTGTCCCCATGGAGAGGCTGACCTCTGACAGTGTCCTCGTGGAGAGGCTGACCTCTGACAGTGTCCCTGGGGAGAGGCTGACCTCTGACAGTGTCCCCGTGGAGAGCCTGACCCCTGACAGTGTCCCTGTGGAGAGGCTGATGCCTGACAGTGTCCCCGTGGAGAGCCTGAGTGGAGAGGCTGACCTCTGACAGTGTCCCCGTGGAGAGCCTGACCCCTGACAGTGTCCCTGTGGAGAGGCTGACGCCTGACAGTGTCCAGGTAAGAGGATTCTGAGAACACAGAACCCTGCTCTGAATAAGTTCCCTTCTGTACACATCTCAAGCACCAAGCAGGCAAGGCCGAGCAGGAGCGCACACGCTCAAGAGTCCGCACAGACAGACCTGCTTCCTATGGAGTTGAGGTCTGAAATGGCCCTGGAGACTTCTAGCGCTCAGCTAGCCAACAGGAAACCTGATCAGCGGAGATAATGTCCACGCTCCCCGGGAAGGTCAGTGAGGCTTGGGTAGTGCCATAAACGACACTAATAGTTTAAGCCTCTTAAATTTGAGGCTAATATCAATGTTCCACTTTTGCAGCAAGGTGACACGGAGAGCTTTGCTGGGTGTTACGTGTGTGAAACATCAGACAGAAGCAACTGAAGTAATGTCAACACCTAGAGCCTTTATTTGAATATCTTTAAACTGTTTACATATGATACATTCCAAACTTTACAAGTTGTCCACAGATATTAAAATTATAGCCAATTTATTAAACATAAGATTTTCCCTGATATGGAAAGCATGTTATATAAACATTTCTACAACAAAAAACATGCAAAACAAATCAAAAGTCAAGATGTGTTGGTAGGAACAAAAAACCATCTTAACATCGCCACAGAGAGTACAGGCTGCAAATGGGTGGGAAATCACTGCCCAGACCCTGACATCTCAGGAGGGAAAGGCAGAGCTACCCTCTCAGGCCTGACCCCGGAAGTGTCGGGATGACTTAGCTCACGATCTTTTCTCCTTCCTGGGTTGGTATCAGCATTGAACCCACGACCTTACTCATGCTAGGCAAGCGCTCTGACACTAGGCTCATGCCCAGAGAGGTCTCCGTTTTAAACTGAAGAATGGTGAGCAGAAGGGGAAAAGCTAGAGAAGCCGAACTTAAGTCTGAAGAAACTGCACGTGTCAAAGGTCAAAACAAACATCAGGTACAACATCCACGGCCCATTCAGACCATGTCAGGGAACGGCTAGAGGAAGGGAGAGCGTGGAAGAATTTCACTTGGGCTTCCTGCTGTGTAACTTCTTAGCTCTTGAGCTTGGGAAGCAGAAGGGCGAAGTGAAGTCCATTCTTTGGAGGGGAGGCAGCTCCTCACATGATTCTGGAGACTGTGCTAGCAATGTGTCTTTTAGCCTCTGGTCTGGGCTTTGGACCCTCCTGGGATGCTGTGGCATGGATGCAGCTGAGTAGAACAGAACTTGTGGTTGAATTTGAAAGGCTGAGTGATCAGGCTGTTAGAAGGCTTAGAAAAGCCATAACCTCTTCTGTTCATGTGGCCTCAGCCCACATGGAGATCGGAGTTCATCTTTTTGCTGCATCTGCTGTCACTGCGTGTATGCGAGCTCTCTTCACGTCTGCCGTGTGCAGGGTGCCAGAGTTCTAACTGCGGCACCAAGCGGCTATAGTTCTAGAAAGGCACCTCTTAGATAATACCTAAAAAGAAGAGAAGTTTGTGTGCATACTGCCGGAGGAAGGGCCTAAACCCACTGGCAGACAAGCAGCAACACATCTAATCCAGGAGACGTGGAGTGGGGGCGAGGAGCCTCAGAACACTGGCTCTGTGATTTTGTTTGGTTTGAGACGGTCTCAAGTCAAGCTCATAACATAGCTGAAGCTAGCCTTGAATTCCTGGTCTTCCTGCCTCAGCCTCCCAGGCTCGTAGCCTGACACTTAGCTGAGCTCTCCTGTCTGCTAGTGTCCGGTTGAAGCTGCACACACAACTCTGTTTACCTCAGACAGAAGTTAGTATCTGAGACCCTAGGAGGTCCTTTCCATTTCAAAAGCCCTTTAATTGAGTAAGCCAAAAGTCTTGACAAAAATAGATAAAAACCAACCATCTACAGTTGTGAAAAGCCAGCTGCTCTCCCCCTAGGTTCTCCTGTTAGCATCCCCAGCCTTCTAGACCATGCAGAGAAGAGAATCCCAGCTTCAAATTCAACTGCTTTGCTCTTGGAGGTGAGGTCCAGTCCTAGAG